AAGTGAAGAAGATTTCGAGACTTGGATGGTGGTGTCGAACTTGAGGAGTTTTCTTGGAAAGGTTGGTACTCTAAAAGCTAACATACGAAAACGTGTGTGTAAAGGTGGACTTTTAGCTTAAATAAGTATAAAAAAAACACTAGAGGTTTACAAGAATACTTACCAAATTTTATGAGTTTCTTGAAGAGAAACACCCTTGAGGATGGCACACAAAAATTTGAGAGGGAAGATGAGAGTGAGGTGAGAGTAAAATGAGTAGAGGTGTTTTTTGTGTATGGGGTTTTGGCACCTTTGGCCGATCTTAAAGAAAGGAGGGGGAAAGATGGTGCCTTATTGAATGGAGGTCCTTTGAATGTCTAGCATGGGAGTATGATGTACAATTGCATGCATGGTGTTGATATTTCATGGATAATAAGAGGTAAAGTATTAAGGTGCCACCACCATTTAGCATTTCTTTTTTTCTCTCTTTTTTTGTCTAAACCCCCAACCGAAACCTCACAAGGTTTTCGGCCATAGTGGGCTACCCAAGGGGGATTTTCGGTCTTGATGGCCCATTAAGGGATGGTTTTCGATTTTTCGAGTGGTTATGGGCTTTTGGGCTTAATTTGACCCAATGAAGGAGTTTTCGGCCAAAGGAAGGCCCAAGAAAGGAGTTTTTGGCCTAGGGTATTTAGAAAGGCCCAACATTGATTTTTGTTTAGCTATTGGGTCAAACTTGGGCTTACACGAGGTTATTACTACTTGATTCTTAGTGTATGCATGTATGTACATATGGCATTGTCATTTTTGAATTTTAATTGTTTAATGCAACAAGGTTACATAGATGAATTGTTTGTACATGAATCACAATCTCAACCCTAAATTTGCCAGTTGTGATACTACCTAAGGTTATTGATATTTAAATCCCAATTATCAAAACCTGGTATGAACCAACCTTTAACAATTGGATTGGGGGCTTAATGGTGTACGGTGTTAGTTCATACACAAAGGCCAAGTATGCAACTGGTAGAGCAACATCCTAAATTAAATAATATTTAAGAAAGTACTCATGTGATATCCTGCGAAACATGAATAAAACTCCAATATTTTGTTAAAGGGTACTACCCTTATAACCACAAGGCAACAACATCATCCAAGTAACAACAACAACAAAGAGTCCTTCATCCATATATAAATACATTGGTGCAAACCGGTAAAAATCATCAACACTCTCAAACTCTTTACATATGCAATATCCATCTTCGGTATTTAACTTAGATATCAAAGAGTAATATTAGGGTCCCACCCTCGGTAGTGCTTCCTAACTTAGTTTCTATCTATTTTGCAGCGTAATTTCCTTCATAAGCCCCATTGGAGAAGACCATCCACATAACAACAACCCTCCAAGAAGCTACATGGCATCATATAGTTTTATATTATTTCCTTATAATTTATCTTGACTTTCTTATCAGATATTAGGTTATATAGAATGATGTTAACCTTTTCAATGAATTGTTAAATTTAATTTAAAGAAATCTTTTGGTTATTGCTTTCAATAGAAATTTGGAAAAAGATATATAGAAGTTGAAGGTGTGAATGGCCATTAGGCTTAGTGTGGGATAACATGACTCAACACTCACTTTATTTAAGCATTAGAAACCTACTCTACTTACTTTTAAACCCAACTTTAACCATGATTGGCACTCATCCTCATTAGTTTACTATATATTCCAAAATTTTGTAATATGTAAGGTCGATATAAAATATTGTTTGTAAAATACTCACGTTATTAAGCTGGTGTTGTTTCATCTAATCAAGCTCAATAGAGAGGCGACATGTAAGGCATAAAGATTCATTGTTTACATTAATTATTTTTCCAATAACATCAATATTAAATTATTCAATTACATTTAGATAATTTAGATAATGGAAACAAAACCAAGTTGTATCGCTAATCTTTTATGGATTGCAAAACTAATTCTTTTAAAAATATATCCATAAATCTTGGATCATAAAACTACATTGATTGACCCGTTGGGCTCTATTTTAGTGCTAAGAAACCAAAAGTATCCAACCCAAAATAGTATAAACGAAATGTTGATCATCCATACATGGTCTCTCGTATTTTATGACTTTGTATATGCATATGGGATATGGGTGTCTTGAGATAAGTAGCGTCAAACTGTGGTAACATCGAACACTTGTTTCCCTAAAAAACCAGTGGCGGATTTAGGGGGGTTCCGGGGTGGCACCGGCAACCCCTAAATTTTCCGGCCGCAGTGGAAAAATTTTCGAAATTTTTAAAAATTTTTATTTTTTCTATTATCGTGCAACCCCTAATCTTCCCGTGCAACCCTTACTATGAAATCCTGCGTCCGTCCCTGTAAAAACTTAAGATGAGTAGATGAGATATATGTTGATATTATACCTCCAAAAATGACTGCACCACATTGATGTCCTACAACATGTTCGTTAACATGTGAACGAAAACAAAGGGATAGTAAGTAAAGTGAACTGTGTAGGTTAAGTTCCTAATTAATACATCCATACGAATATCATAACCGGCAAACAAGGAAAAAAAACAAGTCATTGTGAACAGATAAGCATGAAGATGAATAAATCATAATCATAATACAATCATATTAGAGGGTATCAACAATAAAGATGATAAAAAGAAACGCAGAAAGTGAATAGGGAATACACCGTACAAACTTGAGGGTGTTGGTGGTGATGTTTTTTAATGTATAGGGTCCAATAAAATAAATCATAAACTTGAGTGGTCTAATTAGAATATTCGCTACTTTAAACACCGGGGACCGTTGTTTACTACAAGCTTACTGCCGGCGCCAAATATTCGTCTTCTTCCCTCTCTTAAAAACTCCTGCAAACATCAGTCGATTTCCGAACTCTCAAACTCCATCCACCTCTTCTTCATCAGAGCTCTACTTCTTCACTCCCGGCTGTTCGCCTGAGTCTTTTTGTGTTTATTTCACTAATCTGTCTTCTCCGATGGCGGAGGGAATAAATGGATTTTCATCGCCAAGAGCGGACGTTTTTCCGGCAGGACTTCGTGTCCTTGTCGTCGATGATGATCCTACTTGGTTGAAAATTCTAGAGAAGATGCTCAAGAAGTGCTCTTATGAAGGTCTGTTTGTATTTCATCAGCAACTGTTTTTTTTTTTTTTTTTCAATATGATTCGTTTTCGTTCATGTAAACATTTGTTCGACTGAATTTGAATGAGGGTTAGTTTTTTATGTACATAACATTACAAATCAAGCAGAAATACCAGTTTTACTGATTCATACCTGTCATCAAAGTTAAGCTTTGGGTGAATATCGATATCAGGTAGGCTCTGAGATTTAGGGTGATAGTAGAGAAGGCCATGAATGAGTTTAGCTTTTTCAAGCAAGATCATTTTTTCAGTTGTGAAAAGTATCAGCCAATGAATAAACAAAGGTTCAAGGTATATAGTAGGAAGCCTTGGGCATATACAAAATCACCCCCTGTTACATAGTTTGATTGTTCTTTATGAGGTCTATACTTTATACAGAGGGCCTGGTTAGTTCATGATCCAAGTAGAAGACATTGTTAAAGAATGGCATGGAGAAGATGATTGATTGATTGATTGTTGTTGTTTCAGTTACTACATGTGGACTAGCAATAGAGGCTCTGGATCTGCTTCGCGAAAGAAAAGATGGGTTTGACATTGTAATTAGTGATGTCAACATGCCTGACATGGATGGTTTCAAGCTTTTGGAGCATGTTGGACTTGAAATGGAGCTTCCTGTGATTAGTCAGTCTCTTTCTTCCCCACTATATTTATATCCCAGTTTTATATGTATATATTAAAAACCAGAACTGATTTTTTGATATGCAGTGATGTCTGTTGATGGGGAAACAAGCAGAGTTATGAGAGGTGTCCAACACGGGGCTTGTGATTATCTTCTGAAACCAATTCGAATGAAGGAACTAAGAAACATATGGCAACATGTTTACAGAAAGAAGATACATGAGGTGAGAGATAGTGAAAGCCATGAATGCCTCGAAGAGATTCTGATGATGAGAAATGTATCCGAACAATCTGATGATGGCTACTTGCTTTCTGGGGGTGACATAACACCAGGTAAGAAAAGAAAAGACGCTGAACACAACAATTACAGTGACAAAGACTTCATCGACCAATCTTCAATCAAGAAAGCAAGAGTTGTATGGACAGTTGATCTTCATCAGAAGTTTGTCAAAGCTGTCAATCATATTGGTTTTGAAAGTGAGTCATCAATCATCAATCATCATAGCACATACTTTTTCTTGAATTCACTTCTCCTGGTTTGATATAAAAACGTTTGTTTTTTCATGACAGAAGTGGGTCCCAAGAAAATACTTGACCTAATGAACGTGCCATGGTTAACAAGAGAGAATGTTGCAAGCCACTTGCAGGTATTTCTTTAACTCTGGGCTATATATCATTTTTTCTTTTTTCTTTTTAAGATCTTATCCGGTTCTCTCATAAAGTTTCTTAAAATAGTGCAGAAATATCGTCTCTACTTAACTAGGTTACAAAAAGATGATCTTAAAAGTACAGATTCTATAAAGATGCAACAAAATGAGGGCGTCCAGAATACCAATTCAAGAATCCATGAAGTCGATCTAAAAGTTACCACCACCACCACCACAGAATCCAAGAAAGTGTTAACCGGTTATGCCGCCAAGGGTCCGGGTCATCACAACAAGGCCAGCAGTTCAAACAACCATATCGGAATTGGAATCGGAAACAACCACTCCTTCGGGTCAACTCAGTACCCGACATTTAACTCAGTGTTGCCAACTCAGTACTCTTGGGATGGAGGTTTCACAGAAATTCAGTTCAAACAAGAACACAAGAAGCAACACTTTGAGGAGGTTGAAAATGGGTTGGGACTATTATTGCCTACTACTACCCTACTCCAACAACACAACCAAGAAACAGGCAAACGAGTAGTAGCAAATTCAAACACTGGAATCAAGTCATCTTTTGGCTCCTCCTCCTCCTCCTACATTAACATTATGCCAACTTTCCAACCTCCAGATCCATGGAGCCTGAAAGATGATCATCATCATCATCAAACTTCCATTAACAATCTTGATTTATCTTCTATTCTGCTTCAAGGTCAACAACTTTCCTCTACAACAAATCTTGATATACAAAAGAAAGGAGTAGGCGAGTATAATGATCCAGAGTTGCCTCCAAGCTTATATGATGCGCTAAGATTCGACTATGAATATGAATACCCTCCTGACTCATTGGAATATCCAGTAATAGATCAAGGCCTATTCATAGTTTGACATCATCTCATCTCATTTAAAAACATGGATGATCCTCTTTGGCAAGAATTTGAGGCGTCCTACAATGGACAAAAAGAAGAGGCTATTTTGTTTGGGTACATACATTTTTCATTAGGTAGAGAAACTTGTTTCAATAGAATAATAATACACTTTATAACTTGCATACAAAAAAATTATTACAGCACTTAAAATGATGTTGAAAGAAGCAATCAACAACAACTTTCAACATTGTTTCTTTGACATGACGACTGATGATGAATCATTCTTCTTCTTGCTTGTCAAAAAAGCCATGGAACTACTTAGTTTTTTTTTATTTATTTCTATAAAATTCTTTGGCTTTGAAGAAGGAGATTCACAACGAGTATCCTTATGTACTAATCTTGGAATCGGCTTCCTTCCAAGCTTTGGTGAGCAAGGTTGCATTTGAGGGACCTGCATGATTTTTAAAAATATGGTTTTTTACTGATTAAATAATAAGTTTTTTTACTTTATACCACAAACTCATTGATAATTCGATTACCTTCTGAATGTTACTACTTCTTATCACTTTTGTTTCACTTGCAAATGTTTTTGCTTCCAAAGCAGTGCTCCTTCGCAACTTTTTATTGTCGTTCGTAGTCTGTACAAGAATATGGATGGAATCTTTATCGTAATCATAACCTAAGGTTATTTTAGACATTTCACAAACTATGTATCGAGTAGAATGTAGCAGACCTTCAGTTTAGGTTGAAGATGAATCTTTTCTGTCTCCTTCTTGTTGCCCTTTTCTTCTAGCTTCTGAAAGAACTGTAGTGAGAGAAGCTAGAAAACATCATCAACAAACATAACAAGAAGAAAAAAAAAACATCAAGAACCCAAATTTGGTTATCTTTATCTTTACCTCTTTACGTTTTGCTGCACGTTCTTCACTTCTGAAGCTAAACGATGAAGGCACAGTAGAAGAAGAAGAAGAAGATTTTGGTTTCTTTGTACATACACTAGAATGGATGACACAATATTTTTTAGAGACATTATTATTAGGGCATAAATCATTTACAGGGATAAAAAAAATTAAAAATCCAAGAACCTGTAACATAAAAATTACCTTTTGTTTTCTGGTGGTGGGAGGACCTGAGAAGCTTTCTTTACCCCGTTGATAGACACCTGGGAATCAAAACAGATGATTCAAATGTGATAATAATAATAATTAAAAAAAAATGAAAATTTAAAAGAAAGCTGAAGGTTACCTTTAGGTTTAGTGGTTGCTGAATAAGTCGATCTTTAGGTTTACTTATAGTTTTTAAGATCCTATTTTTAATTCCAGTAGGAGGAAAGTTCATTGACATGTGAAGAGATTGTAAAACTGATCTCTTTTTCTCTGTTACATCATTTGCAGCCTTTTTGGGACGAATTGGAGGAGTTGGTGTTTTTCTAGAAGTTTCCTTCTTACTCAAAGAAATTTCAGGACCTTTGTTTCTCTTATTTTTATGTTTCTCTAATGAATTATTTTCGCTTGATACTTTCCCTTGTTCCACTTCCACCTGGCAGCGGCTACTTGCCATGTCATCCTCAACATTTCCAAATTGTTCTAGAACTAGGTTAGTAATAGGTGAGCAAACATCTTTACATGATGCTATTTCTATAGCTTGTTCATGGATATGTTGTGAGAAAGCTGGAGGAGTAGTAGTGGTAAGAGTAATTGATTTTGATGACTCGCTTTCTTGTGGTTCATCAATGGGTGAAAGGGTATCGGATCTTGGAGGAGTGATGTTGGTTTGAGGGGAGTGATTAGGAGGTCTGTTTTCTTTTTGAGGTGATTTTGTTTTTGTGGCTTTTTTGGATGCGATTTTCTTGTAATGTGCTTCAAAGAAAGCTTTCTTTTCAGCAACAGCACCGGGTCTAGAGTGTTTTTGAACATCTTCTAGGGTTCGATTGTGAGAAAACGAAGACCATTTTTCCCAATCTAATGGTTCAGTCATGAATCGACCAAATGAAATTGATGTGGTTAGGGCTCGTAGAGGGTCACCCTGTGGCACATAAAAAGAACCATATAAACCCTAGAAACACGTTATATAATTAGGGTTTTTTTTAAACCCAAGAAACAGATTAAAGTAGGGGTTTTGAACAAAAAAACAAGTACATATATGCAGAGTCTTGACAAAAACCAAGTACTTTAAAGAAAACAAGATACAAAACCCTAATCAGGTTCATATCAAAATGAAAAGCCCTGGAAGTAAAAATCATACAAACTCTAGAAAGCAGAAACAGATTAAAGTTGGGGTTTTGAACCAGATGACAAAGCGGAAACATACATAATCGTGACAAAAATGAAGAATTTTGAAAAAAAAAAAAAAAAAGAGATGAATGTTATTGCTAAAACTTCAATTTCAGGGACGACAACACATATATAATTAAAATCGAATTTGGATTCAAATAAAAATTGAAAAACAGTGCAATTGGAGAGCATAGAAACCGTAGAAACAGATTAGAAATTTAGGTTCTTTATATTATATTCTTGAACTAACCTCTTTGTATTCGCAAGAAGCGAAGAGAGGTTGTGAAACTGAACGCATCAAGCAAGGAGCTGCTTCACCCATTTCCACAGATCTAGAGAGAGAAAGTAATCCCTAGTAAAAGAAAAAGAAAGAAAGAAAGAAAAAACCTTGTTTTTGTGTTTGTAAATCTCGGGTCTAATTAATCCTTGAAATTTGAAGCTTTAAATGGATTGGTTTTTATATTCCGGTGAAGAACACTGTGATACGAAGCTGATGGGCATTTCCCCAACGTCTAGTTTTAATTTTCTGGGTTATTTTTGGGTTTAATTTAAATGTGGGCCCCACACCTAACACAACGCCCAACGGCTATATCTCTGTCGCACATCATAGAATGTGAAAATTTTTACTCTTGTTTTTAACTTTTTTTAATGTACACCATATAATTGATGATCTATATTAATTTAACCATTTATTAAGGAAATATATATATTTATGTAATGTATTTCAATAATTTCCTTTTTTGTAACTTTGTTAGTGATTCAAATTAATCCAATCAATTTATTAAAAAATATTTACGTTTATAATTAACTTTTATTATTATTATTCAAAAGATTAAAAAAAGTGTATACATTTTTTAAGCTATGATTTTATTATTTTTATTTTAGATAAAACTTCAAAAATGATCCCTGTGGTTTTCGAAAATATCAAGTTTAGTCCCTAAGTTCAAAAACATCACAGATGGTCCTTGTGGTTTTAAAACTTTTAACATTTGGTCATTTCGGCTAACTCTGTTAGCTTTTGGCCGTTAAGTGAAGGGCAATTCACTCATTTCACTTCCAAATGGACAATTTATGAAGTTTTACCTGATTTTTAATATATATATATATATATATATATATATATAATATATATATATATATATATAATTATTTAATATTAAAGGGTCCCATCCCCATCTCTCTCTCATACACATCATCTTCTCTCTCTCTCTCTCTCTCTCTCTCTCTCTTGTTAAGAGGCATCACCCCCAAACACCCTCTATTATTGTTTTGCTCGACCCCTGCTTTCCCAGAAGCCATAACTCTTGTGAAATAATCTAACAGTCGAGGAAAAGAGCCCATCGGAAAAACCGGTTGTCCACCTCTCCACCTCCCCTCGGTTGTTGAGCAAACCCACGAACCCCCACCTGTTGTGATGTTTCCGATCTGCTCTTTCCCTCCCTTTCTTCTCCGTTTTTCTACCAACCTCTCGAGCTCCCCTCCATGGCTTCTTGTGTGATGTTGCAGAGAGTCAATATGCACATTTAGGTTTACAATTTGTACAACAAATCCAATCAAAAAACAACATTTTAGAAAATTATTATTCTTTGGAGCATTCTGTCAAACAGTTGGTGTGTGCAACAAAAGTCAATAAATTTTCATGTCAAATTCAACTCGTGTAGCCATAATTCTTGAGAGTGCACTTTCATCAGTCCCTGTCTTCTCAATTGCTAGCCTTAACCTTTTCTAAAAGTATTTCATAGGATACGTCAATCCCTTTATTGTTGCCCTTAAAATTGCCAAAAAAGTCGTCAATAAGTCAATGTTCATACCTAGCTAATATCTTGTCCAAATTCATTCTTATAATGATTCAAATTCATTCTGGATACTCAATTTTATCCAAATCATACGACATCGAACAGGATTTCGGAAGTCGAATTTGATGTGGCGAGGCATTTGAGTATTGCATTCTTCTGGACCACAAAGCTCCGGCGAAGATGTGAGCATTGATTTCACATCCCATTTTCCGACACACGGTCTTTCTTCCTTGTGTATTTTGTTGCTTCCCAAATTTGGACCTATACAATAACAGAATATGAAATTATGAATGAGTTTGGTTACCAGGATTTGGGAATTCCATTCCATGACTAGGTTTACTTACAATGAGGGAATTAGACATGGAATAGCCACAGGGACTAACGAGAATGATAACACCGGAGACATCATAGAGACTACCGAGAACGATAATAAGCTCAGTGGAAGAGGTGGTTAGAGGTGCTCTCCAATACGACTGTTTTAATCCGTTATTCAAAGGTACAAAGCAACGACAATGGGGGAGAGAGGGTGGCCGTTTGTGGTGGTTCACGGTGGTGGGGGTCACCGGTGGGGTGGTTGAGGGTGGCAGTCCTTGGTTATCCTTGTTTCTTTCTTCAATTTGTGCAGTAGATTGACGGGAGGGAGAAAAAAGGAGGTGAGGTGGTGATGTTTAAATGGTCTCTTTGTGTGTGTGTGTGAGAGAGAGAGAGATGATAGACTTGATATTTTTGAAAACCACTGGGACCATCTGTGAGGTTTTTTGAACTTAGGGACTAAACTTGATATTTTTGAAAACCACTGGGGACCATTTTTGAAGTTTTGTCTTTATTTTATGATCATCCAAAAATATAAAAAAATATTTGTTTTTCTTTGCTAATTGAAACATAATTTTTTATTTATATATTTTGGTTGAAAAATTAAAAAGAAAAAACAAATGGAATAGTTGATGTGTTGGTGACCTTTAGCGTTACAGTACGACAAGATAAGATATGATAGAAAAAATAGATTGGTCATGAAAAACTGAACATGACTAATTATTTATTGAGAAATTAAATATTCTCCTACATTTTATTCTTACATATCATCCTACCAAATTAAATGATGAAATTTATAATATTTAATGCTCATTTAATGAAATTTAAAGATATTTTAGGATACTAATATGACACATGTCATTATTTAAATAGGTAGGAAGATTTGTAAGAACAAAAGGTAGGAGGATATTCAATTTCTCTTATTTATTTAATGTTTGGTAAAACTAAAAGGGTTATTGAGGTGGAGGCACAATGAAGTTTTTCGTATGGTTTTAAAATGTCCTTAAAGTATCATTTACATAATTTTGGAAGAAGCGAAGAGATCACTAGGTAATTAACTGTGACGTGGACTTTTGACCTCCTATTTTTTCAATTAAAAGACATGCCAGCAATAACACATCGTCTTTGTTTTAAAATAACTGTTTGAAAAAGCTCCCTTTGCATAATCATTTCTAAAAATCATTTTCCAAAATCGTTGAAGAGCATTAGAGCAGAAGAATCTAGGGTTTTCTCCCCCAACTCGAGTAAGTTATCTTTCATCTTAGGTTCTTTTGAAGTAGGATTATTGGTAGAGGTGAAGTGCATGACTAACAAAAACCCTGATCCTATTTATTTGAAAGTGTGTTTGCATTATAATAGTGTTTTCACAAGATACCCACATAGATATATTGGAGGTGATATGTTCATGTTTATGGATCATGATTTTGTTGGAATGAATCTTGAGGGGTGTTGCACCTTTCTAGAAAGGTTTACTGGAGAACCTTTTGAGAAACTTTACTATGTAGCACGTAATGAAAGTTTGGAAAATAGCTAACAAGTTCGACTGTGTTATTTTTATGGATGCAACTTATCAAGCCACAAAAATGCCAATAGACCTATATTTAGATCATATTGGGATGGATTTGAGGAATGGTTGGAAAAAGAAAGTGGTTTAGTGAACTAAGGGGATGACAAAGAACCTTCATAAGAGCATGCCTAGATCTTGAATGTAATATCCAAAAAATCATGACCAAAATTTTCATTTTTAAATCATTAAATAAACCATAGTTACTAAAAACCATTTATCAAAACAGGAACCATAATATCTCGAAGCATCATAATCATTATATTCATATCAAAACACATGTTAAATATATATCAGAGTAATCATCCCAGGCTAAACATGATGGTGTATGCACTGCAGTCATCCCGAGATCTTCCATTTGCTACCAGAAGTACCTGAAACCAAAACTGAAAACTGTAAGCATGAAGCTTAGTGAGTCTCCCCAAACTAGCACATACCATACAAATAATCACATAATCACATAATAACATATCATGGGCTCCGCCTGCTTCATCGGACCCCGCCCGGCATCGGACCCCGCTCGGCATCGAGCAAAGCTCGGTATATATATAAACATATCAAAAAATACACATAAATAATCACATAACATATACATATAAACATTCCTCGGGCCCTGCCTGGCATCAGACTGAAATCCGAAAGCATACTAACATTCCTCGGACATTTGCCCGCATCGGACCGAAATCTGGAAACATACAAATACAGAAACATGCAAGAATCATGAAGACATCAAGCATATAAACATTCCTCGGGCATCGCCCGACATCATACTGAAATCCGAAAAACATATAAACATTCATCGGGCACCGCCTGACATCGGATCGCAATCCGGAATCATACAATCATACATACAGGCTAGCATTGGTGCCTTCAACCTATTCCTATAGGAGAAAACTCACCTCGCAAAGCTGAATATAGAATCTCGTGGTAAGGAATCTCTAACGGCTGCTCTGACGACTCCCCGAGCTATTATTACCACAACAACACTTAGTCAAAAACTAATAATCATTCTTAGGGTAAAATGACCAATTTACCCCTGATCTAATTTGATCCATGACTAAGGCCCAAAACCATAACATGAAAGGCCCAAATCTAGATAGCCTTTCCAAGCCCATTAGTGGCCCACCAATGGCCCAATTTTCTAAATTAGGCCCAACTCCTCAAATGGGCCTTCTCTTCAGCCCAACATATTCTTAGCCCAAACTAACTGATTTATGATGGCCCACTATGGCCCAAAATAGCAAAGTCCATGAAATGGCCCGACCTGAGGCCCAAATGATGAAAACTCAAATCTAGTGAGTACGCGCGACGTACTCCTCTATACGCTAAGCGTACAGGCTGCATGGCGTGTACGTTGCTCGTACACGCTGCATGGTGTGTACGTGGATGTGTTGGAAGGTATTTGATGATAAGCTTGATGGATTCAATGTAGCTTTCATGATCATCAAAGATTCCTCTATAGTTGCTTGCTGCAATGGAAGGAGTGATGTTCTTGATGGCTCATCCAGAGCCAATAGGTATTACAGAGCAGGAAGCCTTGGATTGTTTCTTTGAGGCATAGGATTTCACCATTGTTATGAAAAAGATTTCAAGAACTTGCACGAAAAGGTTTTTTTTTTTTGCAAGAAGATGATGAAGAAAAAGATTGTCGTGAGAGTTCAGAAAGCGTAAATTTTCTTGGAGAAGAAAAAAGGGCTTTTATACATCCAAATTTAAAATTTTATTAACATCAATTTAATGACAGTTGGTAAAAACCTTTGGGTTTTTATCTTTATCGGTTTTAAAATTAAATAAAAAATGTTTCTAGGAAAAGAGGGAGCACTAAATGCAGTTG